CAACCCACCCCCTTTGCGTGTGCGCACCCTCCAGCTCAACCCACAACAACTATATATATATCTATGTTATATACATATAGTATATCTGTATGTTTATATACATGTAGTATATTTGTACATTATGATGAGGTAATTATGTATATATATCCACCTTCTTCCCCCCTCAAGGAAGTGTGTACATAAGGCAGTTGTCAGTTGCCTTTATACCTCATGATACACCGTCCTTATAGGAAGCGGCTGTTATAGTTTTAGGGTTGCAGCCCTACAGTCTTTGGGTTGTAGCCCTGGAGTTTTTGGGTTGTCGCCCTACAGTTCTTGGGTTGTTGCCCGAAATATTGTCATGTCCGTGCTGATTTCAGCATGACAAATATGCCAAACACGAAGTGTTTCCTATTATATAGGTGACATTTAGGGTATGTTACGTTACAGTGACCCTTATCCCCCACAGCGATGTTAGGGTGTTACTTGCCATCAGTAACCCTAAAATATGCTAAATTAAAGCAGTATAAACAATTTGCAAAGATACTTAAGCAAAACTGCATTTAATTTTTCACTGTGTGTCACGTGGTACAGATTAGTATTTATTGTAATCCTGCATACTCTCATTTACAATAATGAGTTACTTGATTTATTTTACATGTAGCTCCGGTGAGCATTCCATTCAGTGATCCACCATAGAACGATCATGCTCATCCCAAATCCTTCGTCAGAGCATGTCGAGCTAATTATGGTGTTCAGATCACCTTCAGGCACCTTACACTTGCATGATTCCAATATAGCTAACATGCACTGCAATATGCCTTGTGCAATGTATAATGTATTGTGATGTGATGCTAATATTCCAGTTGTTATCATGATCAAACTAGTAATATATATTACAGCTGTTAGCGTGGTCAAGCGGTATTAGTGATGCATGCACAATTCACAGTGTTGCAGTCACTCAGTATATAATGTATATGTAGTGCAATGCATATGTGCTGCATGCACTCATTATATACTTCATGATGGTGTATACTGCAAGTCAAGTATATGTGCATGTGTGTGTGCTGCAATCATTGTAATCTCCGCACACTCTAATCTTGCACACATTATTATGTTGCTGCAGAATATTCAGTGATTTGTCATATTGAGCGTGTACGTGTGTGTAAGCTATTCACACAGCATTTATGCAGTTCACACTCTTGATTGCAAGTAAGTATACACATCTGACAGTGAATAAATTGCAATATCTCAGCAGTCATCAAAGTATTGTGTGGCATGCTGCAATATTAGTCATCATGCGTCCATTCATGATTATCCCTGTAAGTATACACATATTTTGCAGAGGATATCGTGACGCGCGCATATGATGCGCAGATGATTATTGCAACTATCAATAACGACGGTGTATTGATGACATTTTGCATATTGACATCGTAATCATAAAACTGCAAAATGATTGTCGTGCGCTGCAAGTGATTTATTGCAATCACGATGAATATCGCAATTGTGCGCGCTGTTGATAAAGAGCACATATTGTCGCCATATACTTAGCACATGATACGAGTGCTAATTTGCGCGCGGATCATGATTCCGCTGATGATTTCCGTGCCCGCATCTCATACTGCGAAATTCTTACAGCTGCGAATCATTTCTGCGCGTACATATGATCGCCGCGCATACATTTCTTGCAGCTGCGAATCGCTTCTGCGCGCATATGTGATCGCCGTACATACATTTCTTGCAGTTGCGAATCGATTCTGCGCGTATATGTGTTCGCCGTGCATTTGTATGCCGCATGCACACCTTTTCGCGCAGTGTAGCAAGGTACGGTATCGGTTGCGCTAATATTCTGATAAATCGATTTATCAGAATATTAGTATCAATCAATAACTTTTTTTTGAATATCAGAATATTGACTATTGATTGATATATGAAGTCGAAAAATCAGAATCGATCAATACCATGCCTAAATAAATCGGTATCAATTGATCGTTGGCGTTGATTAATCACAATCGATTGATTGCTACATTGAAATCGCAGTATCGATATCAGAATTGGGTATTGATAATCGATCTCCCATGACACCTAAAAACGAATTGTATTGGGTCAATCCGGATCAGCATTGGATCGATCGCCGTTGTAGGCTGACCGTGTGCAGTACATATTTTATAAGGGGGCAGGGCTCCAGGCCTAGCTCTACTCAAACTCCAAATCGATCATGGGTATCGATGCCTGACCTCCTAAATCTTGCGAATATGTAATGTGACTTGCTACATACATAGCAGACTTGTATTTCTGCCAAGCGGGAAAGATATATTGGCCGTACCGCAGCAGCTGGGGTGCAGCAGCAGCTCCACCACCATGCCCACCGGGGCGCACTGCAGGAGGCTGTGTGAGGCACGCTCCAGACCGTGAGGTGGTGTGATGCGGCGGTATGAGGCGCAATTTAGACCGTGAGGCGGCGTGGGGCACTTTTTAGACAAGTATGTGCATAATGTACAAAGATCCGGCGCGAGCATGCTCTACACAAATATTCCCCCCACAAAAAAGGAACATACCCGCTCCAAGATGTTCACGTTCCTACATGGAAAAAGCAGGCAGCTGAGTTACGGGAGGAGTGACTCGGAAATGTCAACGGTCCAAGAACACTTACCGCAGGCCCCTGGGGTGCAGCAGCAGCTCCACCACCATGCCCACCGGGGCGCACTGCAGGAGGCTGTGTATGTGAGGCACGCTCCAGACCGTGAGGTGGTGTGATGCGGCGGTATGAGGCGCAATTTAGACCGTGAGGCGGCGTGGGGCACTTTTTAGACAAGTATGTGCATAAGGTACAAAGATCCGGCGCGAGCATGCTCTACACAAATATTCCCCGCACAAAAAACGATCATACCCGCTCCAAGATGTTCACGTTCCTACATGGAAAAAGCAGGCAGCTGAGTTACGGGAGGAGTGACTCGGGAATGTCAACGGTCCAAGAACACTTACCGCAGGCCCCTGGGGTGAAGCAGCAGCCCCACCACCATGCCCACCGGGGCGCACTGCAGGAGGCTGTGTGAGGCACGCTCCAGACCGTGAGGTGGTGTGATGCGGCGGTATGAGGCGCAATTTAGACCGTGAGGCGGCGTGGGGCACTTTTTTGACAAGTAGGTGCATATGGTACAAAGATCCGGCGCGAGCATGCTCTACACAAATATTCCCCCCACAAAAAACGAACATAC